CAGGACGCCCTGGCCTGGCAGGCGCTGCCAGTCGTCCAGCTGCTGGCACCGGACGAGAGGGGCTGCCTTCATTTGATAGGAACTCTCTTCGGTAAGAGCGCTGCTGTGGCCTAGTACAGCAGCAGGGAGAAGGCAGTTACCTTTTTTTGAATAGAGGTATAAATGTGAAGCTTGTCCACATTTGAAACAACAACAGCAAAAAAGGCGAAGGAATCTTGAGGTACCTAATTCCGTACTTCCACCGTTCTGCGTCAGGTGTGTTACTACTCCCTGTGGAAAACTGCCTGTCGTTTGATTTAGAATAGGTTAATTAATTTCCTTATTCACCAAGGAGAAGGATTGTAATGTCCATAAAGCTCTTGCGATTTTCCGAAGTATCTTGACGTACCTTTAAAGTCTTTCTGGAGAACAGGGAGTGCCTGGTGTATGATTCTTCCCTGAATGCCCTCCGTTCTGGTCTCATGCCTTCGTGCTTTCTCATCTTGCTGAACTGTGGCATTATATAAAGATTCACGCAGAAATGAAAATGTGAGCTTAAAAAGGTGTTGCAGGATTTAATAACAAATGTGCAAAATAGGAATCTGCATACTGTTTTTTTCACACCATCACATTATGCTTCTAGAAATCCTTGTAGCTATAGGACTGTAATACCTCCTTCTTTCTGGTGGGTCAGCCTCCCAGCAGAATACACTGTTCAGTGGGGTGTCAGAAGGTGCCCTTCCAGTAACAGTCTCTGTGATCTTGAACACCTCTTACTGGTTTGCGTTTGCACAGCAGTGCTGTGGGAAAGGTCTTCGAAATGTTGTCTAAAATCTTGACGGAGAAGAAATAATGGTCTAAATGAGGGAATAGTAAGGCAGGAAGAGAACGGTGGAGGGTATGAATGCAAGTGCCTTCAAGGAGCAAGTATACTGGATTCCTTTAATTCCATGATCTCATTTGCACATCACAGATAATTCTTGTTCTTTGGGGGAAAGTGACGTAGAAGCCCCTTCCCCTGCCTTGACGCACTGAATAATTCAAACAGTGTTTTCCCAGTTGATTTCCCAGCACAAACTGTGTTGTGCATGCTTTGGGAGCAGCTTTGTTAGAAATAGAACTTTGTGCAGGCTTAGTTCTCTCCGTTGCACAAATTTTTGTTGAGTGCTGTCTGCACACATAGTCCTATACAGATGTAGAGGGAGTGGTGCTTATGGCCAATTCAGTCCTACGCTGTACGACCCTGACACAAAATACCCCAGAAGACAGGGGAGCTGTGCTTGCATTTCAATGCTTTTGTCTGTTTTTAAATAATTATTCTCTCTCTCTTTAAGAAGCTTTGCAATTGGGTGGTTTGGGGACAGCTTTGGGGTTTTACTGTACTTGGTGTAACTCCTAGAGCAGTTGGAATCCCAGTCCAAGCTTGGGGCTACAAACAATGACGTGTACATTTTGGATAGAGCTTGAATGAACCAAGGATCATTTGGTGCAAGAGTGTAAGAGGGGGACCCCCAAAGGTTTGAGCAATGCTGTGGAGGAAATATTAATAGTAAATTCAGAAAAATACATTCATTTTTGGAGAGAGAATATTGGGATAAGCACAGGCAGAAGACAGAGGGTTAAGAGAACAGAGGTGTAGTGTGGAGTGTTACGTATGAGGAGATGGTGAATTTCAGGTAAGCCTGAATTTCATGCAGCTATTATTGCAATGTTGGCTAATGCTGTATGCAAGTCTTTTCCAAAATGTGAGGAAGTTACTGAGGACTGGGCAGATGAGGCAGGAAATAAGTAACTTGTTCACCTGCAATGTCATAACATTGCTTTAGTTGGTCAAATTTCTGAGAGGTCATGGAGTCTCCGGAGAGGAGGTAATTTGATTGCATATGTTGAAACAAGCGGTTTGGTGTAGCAGAAGTGGGGGTCTGAAGCAGATGCCTGATGCTGTAGATACCTGAAGTTGGAAGGAGCTGGGAGGTAGAGTTTCTCATCTGTTGTGGTGCAGTAGAGTGAGGCAGTGGCTTATTTTAATATATCCAATCTTACGCTCTCGCTGTAAAAACGACTTGTGGTGCCTTCAGGTTCAATTTAACGTTTGAATAGTTTCCGTATGCTTTAAACCTGGTGTTCAAATTTGGTCTCGGGATTTTCAGTACTGTGGAGGGAGAAGACTGTTCATGGTAATTGGTATGAATGGAAGACAGAAAGGACAACTCACAGCTGGGCTCTAACTTCTGTCATTCTGAGTGTTGTTTCATATGTAGAATGTTGGATACATGCGGTGAGACGTGGCAATGGTAGCAGTTACATATTTACTTACATAGGTGGAGCCATTGACTTCAACTATAAAGTACGTTAAAAATTTGCAAGAGAACCGAATGCCTTCATGTCCCTGTGTCCTGCTTATGGAGGGACCTTTTGCGATACTCCCTGAGAGTATCCACCTTCCTCTGACAAAGTCAGGCTGGTGTCATGTGAAGTGGGGAAAAAAACCAGTTCTGAAAAAAATTTGCAGCTCTTTTTACAAGAAGGCATTACAGCACTGATGATCACAAGCAGAAAAAATGTGGTTTATCTTTTAGGGATGTTACATACTGTGGAAGACAGCAGTGCCCTGGACCTATTCGTAGAAGGTGAGAGGCAGGTGCCACGTCTCAACTACTGACAGTTTGTGAAGGGAGGCTCTGTCTTGTCTGATAACTATAGTGAGATGCTCAGCTTTTACACAGCTTGAATTGGGAAGAGCATCTATTTTCTGTCAATGCAAGAGTGACGAGCAGACTGTTCCAGTATTTGGGGGCAGGGGAGTGCGTGCAGATTTAAATATTTAGCATTTCTTTCACAGGTTCTGTGCGTGCCATGAATTTAGTGTCAGATGGGTAACAGTGGTAAACAATGCCTCATCTTTAGCATCTTTGGACCTGACCGAAGTCTCAAAGCAAACGGAAATCTTCTGTAGGCTTCAGTGAGCTTTGGGATCTACTGCTTTCTCCTCAGGACAAAGAGTATTTGGGATTTAGCTGTACAGGCTGCAGATTCCTCTTTGTGAGCAGTCCTTCATTTGAAATGCCTGCAGGGCTGACAAAGGAATCTCTGCAGTCCGGTTAACCTTGGGCATCTCTGCTGAGTCTAGTGATATTAGCAATGCAATCATTTCCTCCTGTCCAGCCATGAAAGATGAAAGGAGGTGTGACCAGCTCCTTCCAGAGGGGTTTCAGTTTTCAGGCGCTTGCTTGAAATGGTGTTGAAAAGGTGAGAAGTCTTTCTGTCATGTTACCAGTCTGTTGAGAGGTGGATGCTCTCAAACAGAGGAATTTTAACTTAGTGTTACCTAGCTCTTGAAAGTTTTTAGAGATTCTGAGAGTTCAGGGCAAGAAAGGGCCATTAAACCGTCTATAAATCACCTGTCTCAAGATATGCCTCCGCTGAGATGCGTAGCTCTTTAGCTAAAGTAGGTCTCCTAGATAAACCTCCAGTATTGCCCTGGATATACAAAGAGATGGTGAACCTAGAAGTCTCTGGTATTTTTTTTTTATGATGCTTTCCTAGAATACAAATCAAAAGAGTTTGTTTTTCAAATGAGTCGTGCCATGACAGCAAGATACGTCCAAGACAGCCTTACCAAATCCTATGGAACAATGTTCTGCACAGTGTCTCAGTAAGGGTGCTATTGTCAAAACTTTATCTGCTGAACATTCAGGTGCCCAGGTTCTAAAAATACCAGAAGAGGAACTTTGCTTCCTGTAACTGGTCCACTGGTATATGTATGGAGGCGGGGCAGGCTGCCAGCGTCAGGCAATTCCCTTGTGATTTTGTTAGGGAAACCCAAGGTGATGTGCAGCCAGTGCCTGGTAAACATAGTTTCTTGTTGATTCCTCTTATTAGGACAGAGCTGACAGAGTTCTTAAAGTTGCAGTGAACCAAGAGTAACTGCCCTTACTTGGGGCTGAGGAGGTGAACAGTACCACAAAGGTGACTGGGGCCTTGCTTTCTGGCAAGGTATATGGGATAACTGCAGTGGGGAGGAATGGCTGCTAGACTGCACTGTTACCTCAGGGACAGTAGCAGCTGGAGGAGGAGCTCTCAGTCTGCATCTAAGGATACTCAGCAGTTTCAGTTCTGATATCTTCTCTGGAAAGATAGGTTTTAAAGGCCAATTTTCGTACTGTAGGAAGCCTGCTGTATTCAATTACCAGAAATTTTTACGCTTTTAAGCCAGGACTTTGTTTCCTTCCCTTCCTGGTTCCTTATGTTTACTTGGTGTCCTGATGCTCAGTTTGTCCCTTGCCGTTCATTTCCATGCATGGTTTGTAGCACAGCTAGAACAGGACTGCTGTAATGTTGCTGCAGAGAGCTCGGGCTGGGCTATCAGAAGTAATAGTGCCGGGAATGCCAATGTTACCCTGCTCTCTCAGCACCTCCATGCTCATTTAATTTCTAAGCTCTTTACTCACTGGTCTGCTAAAGCCCTGTGGAAGATGGATTGTGAGTGCTCTTGGGTGTGAATTGCTGATCCTGTTTCTTCTGCCTAGTTCTGGTGCGGCTTGTAGTGGAGCTGAAGTCAGAACAGTACTTACGCTGCATTTTGGATGAAAGCCAAAATGAGGTCAGTGAAGATGAATTCCCTGCCCTTCCTTTCAATCCTTCAGAGGTTGAGGTGATGGGAATGAGTGGCCCTGCAAGACTGCAGCTACTGCGCTGGGTTGCAGCCTCTCTGCAGTGGGATGTCCTAGGGCCAGCTCCCCTGCTGTGATTTTGGTGGTGTTAGTGTCTACCTTGGAGTTTTCCTATTGTTCCCATGATGCCTTGCAGCCATATGGCTTCATGATGCTCTTGTGAAGCTGTATGGCTTCCTCAGATTCTTCTTTTCCTACCTTACTGTTTCAGTGATATGAGGAGCTTTCCCAACCTGTGCCGTGGGCTCTTGCTCTCTTCATTCCTAAGTTTGTGATGATCCCATGGGGTACAAGAAATTGGGAAGTAGTGAGAGTGGGGAGAAGTTCAGCTGGTTCATGTAAGAGCTGGAGGGGAGAGAGAGGCAAAGGAGCAACAAGCAAGAGATTTCTTGGATTAATTAAAAGACATTTTGGAGACTTAGTGGTGTGTTCAGGGCTTTCCTGTGGTTTATCCTAAGTGGTGAAGAGGGCCCAGCTTAGGAAAAGATCCTATTCCGGAGGATTATGCATCACCGAGAGCTTGCTGGTTTGGGTGCATTTCTGGCTTTGGACCATGTCGTCACCAGTGAAACATTTTCTTCTCTGTCTCCTCTACAGCTGCGCAAAGCAACTACCATGAGAGGCAGCCTGCCCACATTCACTCTCTTGGGCAAGCTGGCAGATGCCATCCCAGGCTTTGCTGATATACTGGTGGTAGAGCACAGTGAGTAATGTGTCATGCCCCACTGGAGGGTAGTATTCACAGCCCTAATACACATACGCATGCACGCACTCCCCTGTCACCCGTGTGAATTCATGAAGGTCACACAAG